GGTTATGACAAAAATTAATTCACACAAAAAGTAAAACAGACAATACTGACTATGACACATGACAATATATATTCAAACTTATATAATATATTGGTATGAGACAGTGGTACCACAACATGCCCCTTTAAAAAAAAAAAAATAAAATAAAATTAATCATACATTTTTTAACTATTAATTATTATACACAAAACATAATAGTAACAAGATAATACTTATTATTAACATTTAATTTAAAAATCTTTTTGGTTTAACAATATTTCTACCAAACCTATTTTTTGTCTCTGTCTGTAAATTGGTTTCAATAGACTTTTCAGAGAAAGTTTTATTAATATTATCATCCAAATCATCTTTACTTTTCTCTTGAGTTTTTAATGCAGTTTTAATAATAAACTTTCTATTTCTTTTATAGATTATACCATTATCTGCTTCAACTCTATAAGATCTAGGTTGATCACAGACTTCAATTATTTTACCATTACTCCAAGTACTGTTAGGCTTAATTTTAAATAATACTTTATCATTCACCTTTAGTTGGGATAGTTGCTTAGTATTTTTATTAYAAAAGGACATTACTTTATCAGTTTTAGAGAAAACTTGTTTATTATGATTTTCTACTTCAACTAATTTTGGTTTAAGACTAGACAATTTGACAGGAATTTTAGTTCTRAKATTTCTTGACATAAGTAGTTGTGCAGGAGAGCATAAACTATTATTAGCAGTGTTACGATACTGCATTAATGCAATATATGGGTTTGTATTTGTATCAGAGGATTTTTTAAGCAAGGCTGGGCAAGTTAACGATTTTTTTTTAACTCGTTAAGTTAAGTTATTTTTAAATAATAAAGTTAAGTTAAATTAAAAGTTAATCATATTTTTTACGTTAACTCGTTAAGTTAAAAATTAACTAGGAAAAAAAAGTAACTTAACTTAGTTTAAAGTTAAAATTTTCTATTTTGCAAAAATAAAAAATTGCACACATAATATTAGTTTTTTTACACTCAAGAAAAATACTAGGGAAATTTTTTAAATGAGACATAAAAGTATTAATTAGCTATCAAAAAACCTACTTTTCCAAAATAAATCTTAGTCCTGAACTCATACTCAAATCAATTTACCCAAGTGGTACATAAAAAAAAAAAAAAAAAACACCTTAATAGTTTTCTCCCAACTGCCAAGATACCTATATTTTTAATTGATTCACATAAATTTTAAAAATCAAACAGGCAGTACCTACCACCCAAATATATTTTCTATACTGAGGACAAAATGCAGCCACCGTGTAGTTTTAAAACCTAGGCTCAGCACAACATGAACAATTATTATCAGTAAAAATATAATTACTTTGTACTATATTTTTAGATAAAAATAAAACCATAAATGTTAAACCTTTAATAAATATCTTAAGAAATTACATATTTTGTATAAGCTTTAAACTTTTCGTACAAATTTAAATACCTGTTATAGAATATAAAAATAACTATACATTTAAAATAGTTAATTATATTTATAGAAGTTGTCTTTACAAACTTATGAATTATTATGCAATCATTTAAATTTTACCAATTGTGTACTTCCACTGTTGCTAAACATGGTAAATAATAAAATAGTCGAGTCATGACTACAGCATTCATTATTGAAAGTCACCACATATCATTTAGGTAACATATAAATAAGATAATCGATAATCTCATTTATGTGGCTATATAGCATATATGTGTACATAGATATTATTTATAAACATAAATAAATAAATATATACATATATTAACTGCCCAATATTAATTAATTACAAGGACAAAACAATTTAAATTTTCATCAAAAATATTTATTATATTTTAACAAAAGAGACATTTCAAAATTGTTATCAGAAATGGATCCTCTCCTTTTGTCAAATAATTGACCACCAGCACTAAACAATCTCTCCACAGGAGCAGATGACGGTATAATAGCTGTATTAAATTCTGTATAAGCTTTTTTTAATTTGTGTGTTAAATCGAGTGGTACCTTAATGTTAGTATTTGTTAAATAATTAGTAACTAAAGTTTGGAAATCAGAGTTAATTACCGATATTTCATCATTAGAAAAAGTGAAAAAATCATCTTCATCTTCACTGTTTGTTTCAAGATTTGAAGAACTTTGAGAAGAAAAATTTGTGTTTTGATCAAAATGAAATTGCACACGATCAATAACATGTTGTTTTATGATGTTTCTGTCTTCGGGATTAGCCCAAATTAATTTGAACTTTGGTACCAATGCCGAAGAAACTTGTAATGTTTTTGACTGCATGTAATTTTTAAACCTGAAAATATAATGTATATTTAATGTACCATGTAACACATTATAATAATATAATTAAGTTTTAACTTAAGAATCTTTAAATATTACAAGTGCATTATTACTTATAAGTTTAAAATATATAAATATGTGGGCGACATAAGGTAATAATATAAACGCTATTTATGAAATTGTTCTGTAAAACGTTTTTGTACCATTTTAACTGTATAAATAAGTTTTAACTTTTATGAATAACATTGGAGTACATATAACATTTATTTTGTTATTAATAATGAAACACTGATAAGTCATAATAATACATGATATTTAATTTTAAAGTATTGAAATTTAAATAATATTAACTTGCCTGGTAGCGTTTGGTGTTATAAGTTATCTTCCCAGAATTTCTTTAATTTTATCAGCACATTGTGTCGATTGATTCTGCTTATTGAAAATAGATTGACATTTAGCAAACGCTCGTCTACTAAGTACTTTATATGGACCATCTTTTTCTGCTTCAAGAATATCAACTGTTGCAATTTAATTTAACGTGTGCGCACCACATCTTTGATATTTTGGCAATTTTATATCTAATACATCATTTGTGTTTTGAGTTTGACCATCAAGTATTTCAGTGATATTTATGGTTCTCAATATTTCATCATTTTCAATTTCAATTCCACACATTTCAATATTATTACCACTATTGTCAATTTCATTATTAGCACCAAACACTGAAATCAAAATAAATACATTTAAAATTGAAAAACTTGTAATTATAAAAATAAAAAATAAATATATAAAACATTTAATAAAAATAAAACATTTAATTATCAGCACTGTATATAAATTACAATTTTAAATAAAATTCAAAAAGTTGGTGTACAATCATAGCTTAATGAATTCGTTATAATAAATTAACATAAATCATAATATTTATAACTAATACAAATAGGCCATTCTAAAATATACATCTTACTTGAAAGGTTTAACAAAATTTTCTGTGTTATCTGTGACAATTAGAGTGGTTTTAGACTGTACATCAAATTCTGTAAGAACTTTTTCAATTATTTCTGCTATATTATCGTATGTATGCCTCCCTAACATGCGTCTACAAGCGAGGGCGCGGGAATTACGTTCCAATGTAATTGGGTTCAGCCAATGAATTGTAAAACCCATATACGATCTACAATAAATTTATTTTGTAAACATAGGTTTTATATTATTATTGAATAATAATTAAAAATTTATTTTTTTGATAATTTAAAAACAATATTTTACCTGTGGAAAATACTCCAACAATCTGCAGTAATGCAAACATATTCAATTTTTTCTAGTTCAGTCTTCAGTTGTTGAATCATATCATTGAACAATGAGCTTATATTTCTCATCAAACTTCTTCTGGACATAGGAACTTTATTGGATGTTAAGTGACAATATTTTATAAATGCAGGGTGCTCAATCAAAGAAAAAGGTGACACAGTATTTATAATGAGTTCTAAGTTAGCCTTATCAAATTCTGTTTGACTAAGATTTTTTACAGTTTTTCCTACTTCCGATAATTTCAACTGTTTTTTTGGGTTGAGTACAATTATTATTATTGTACGACTTCCTTTTTCCAAGTTCATTAAATGTAATTAATTCACTTGGATGAACATGCTGAAAAAATAGGTATTAACTTCAATAATATAAAACGCATAAAAATCGCACATTTTTAAATTTATCCACTTATTTTTCAATACTTGATGCGAAATTACGGTAATTTATACCTATGAGTTTTAGTTTTACTTTAGCTAGATAATATTGTAAAATAACAAAAATCATAACAATTACTGAAATTTTTTTAAAACAGGTACCTAGTTAGGTAGCTAAATTGATCAAAAAATAATTTTAATTATTAATTTTTCGAGTTGTTTACAAAAGCTGTACAATTGGTACTTTTACTATAATATGGTGATTTATTTTGATATTATTGAAAACAATTTAATAATAATAATAGACAGTTGAACCTTAACATTAACCGGATATTTTTAATATTTTCTAAATTCACGAATAATTATAATTATAATTGTCCGATATGCATGAGGAACGATATATATAATATATATTTTAGTATTTTACTATAAAATATAAATTAACTTACCTTGATGTGAGTTTTTAAATTTGAATTTGAACTTATAGAACTTGATATCAATTTTATTTTTGGCATGCATTTGAATGTAAAATTTGATTTTTTTTCAGTTGTATCTGATGTTGATAGTTGTTCGAAATAAGTTTTTAAATAGGGCCACTTTAAATGGTTTTCAGACATTGTAGTTTAAAAAAATAATAAACTTTTACAGAAATATAATAAGCTAATAAAGTAATAAACTAATAACTATATATTATAAATTCTAACAAGATGCGAACAGAACACATGCTTGTTGGATAATGAAATTAAATTGGAAATTAAACCACAGTTGTTTTGTGATTAATCCCCGTCGACACTAGACACTGTTTATACAATAACAATGTTATAAAAATAAAACGAACAGAGCCTTGATTCACAAATCATAATACAGTAAGTTCTCGTTACAACGAACTCCAAGGGACCACATTTTTTTTTCGTTATAACGGAAATTTCGTTGTAACGAAATTTTGAAAATTCGAATATGTATAGTTCAAATATGTATGTAATAAATAAATAATTCAAATGTAAATAATTTGCGAAAAAATAAATAACTTTATTATAGAAAATCAACAATTTTCTTTTGAACAAGGTTTGCTGTTTTAATAGAAAGTAAATAATTTTGTAGTTGGTGAATGTTTGTAAAGATGAAGTCTGGTACATCACTCTGTGATGTAATGAATGTTCGCATTACTTCCAAACTTGTTAAGGCTTCTGATGAAGTGACATTGCGCACATCATTTCCCATCACAGCTTCTTCGTCTTCGTCTCCACTACTTTCATCGGTGGCCTCATCTTTGCTGTCTTTAATGGATTGAACGATGTCTACTTCGGTTAGTTCATAACATGTTGAAACGTTGTCATCTGCACCAAGATAATCTTCTAAATTCACGTCGTMGGGAAGCGACGTTTTCTTTTTTGCAGTGCTCCAAATTTGCTCTAACTCAGATTGTTGGATATCGTGGGTATTTGATTCATCATATTCGGCCACTTCTGAAACAGAATTGGCGTCTTTGGTTGTGGTTGCATGTTTCCAACAGTTAGTTATTGTTGATKGACTGATATCATCCCAAGCTCCGCATATCCATTCGATAGCTTCCTTCACATTGCATTTTCTTTGGATATTTTTCTCCAAATCGCATAAAATTTAACGTAACAAAAAGGTTCTGTAGCGTGATTTTACAGCTCTGATGATACCTTGRTCAAGAGGTTGAAGTACAGCTGTGCAGTTAGGTGGGAAATATTCCACACGAATGTTATCCAATTTTGGTGGTGCATTATGTGGAGTGCAGTTGTCGATAAGAAGAAGAATTTTCCTCTTCTTCTTTTTCATTTCTGTATCAAAATCTATCAACCAATCATTAAAAATTATTTGGGTCATCCATGCTTTCTTGTTAAATTTATAGATGCATGGCAATGATTTACAGTTTTTAAAACAACGAGGTTTTGCAGATTTGCCAATGATGAGGATTTTTCGTTTCTCCGTTCCCGATTTGTTACAACAGAACAGAGCGGTGATGCGTTGTTTGGAAGCTTTACCCCCTACACACTTGTCTCCTTTAAGGGCTAATGTCCTTTTTGGTTCAAGCTGAAAAAACACTCCAGCTTCATCCGCATTAAAGACATCGTCCGGGTTGTATTTCTTGATGAGTGCAGCAACTTCTCCATTTCGCCATTCGTTAACAGAATTCATTGGCACGTCACTCGCCTCTCCAGAAATGCATTTGGACAACACACCATACCGCTCACGGAAACGATTTAACCATCCGACACTTGCTTGGAAATTCTCAACTTCGAGCATTTTAGCAAATTCTAAGGCTTTTTCTCGAATTAAAGGACCGGTCAGAGGAACGTTTCTGGAACGAACATCT